CCCCCTATTATTATGTTATCCTTCTTTTATTCTTTAAAATAAAAAAATAAAAAAAAAAAAGAAAATACCAAGAGTCCTACTTAAATCACAGGTTCATTGCAACAGGTGACTCACACTCCCCAAAGACCACTTTGTGTAGTATGTGGTGACTGGCTTTCCAACAAAGACATGAACCTTCAAAACTGCTTTGCCACATGGAGAACAAGTACCCTGCATTAAAAGATAAGAGTTTTTCAAAAGAAAAAAAAGATAAGCATGCAGAACAGAAACAATCATTGAAAGCCACCACCTCATCAAACGTGTCTGCACCGAGAACATCACTCTTAGTGGCTAACTGCATTGCTGAAGCTCAGAAGCCCTTTACTACCAGCAGTGTTGACCCTGCCTGCTGCTGAGGACATGTCATGACCTTTTAGGAGAGGCGCAGTTCCAGCAGCAGCACATGTTTCTCTTTCAGCTAGCATCACAATTAGATGAACAAATGAAACAGCAGAGGTGACTGAGGCACAGTGGCAGGGAGGATGAGTCACTGCAGTTCACAATACAGATTAACAAGTCTATCAATACTGACAACAAGGCAACAATGCTTGTTCTTTTCTTTTTTTTGGGGGGGGGATCTTTTTTGAGACAGGGTCTCACTATGCAGTTCAGGCTGGCCTTGAACTCACAATGATCCTCCTACCTCAGCCTCCCAAGTGCTGGGATTACAGGCATGAGCCACCACGCCCGGCTAACAATGCTTGTTCTTGTGCAATGTTTTTCAGGAGAATGTACATGACATATCAGGTGCAGCTGCTGCCAGCTAAAACCATAGCTACAGAGCTATTCAAATCTTTGAATGATTACAAGCATTTTGTGTCAGTATATGCACAGACAGAATGATTACCATAACTGGACAGATTTTCAGTATCATACTAGGGCAAAGGGATTGATTCGTAATGTAAGTCAATACACTATGTCATCCATTGAGAAACGTTGACTAGCTGAAAAACATCACCTGAAGTTAACAACATTTTGCAGAATAAGTTTTTGTTTTGGTACTGGGAATCGAACTCAGAACTTTACACTTGCCAGGCAGGCACTTGTGCTGCTGAGCTATATCCCTAGCCCGTTTTGCAGAATATGATTAAAATTATCACATTAAAATACATCCCTTTAACTCAGGTTTGTTCCTGCATTTCTGTGAGAAGATGAAGCAGAGCTTACACATCTTCTCTTACACAACAAAGAAATGAGATGGAGCCGGGCGTGGTGGCGCATGCCTGTAATCCCAGTACTTGGGAGGCTGAGGCAGGAGGATCGTTGTGAGTTCGAGACCAGCCTGGGCTACAAAGTGAGCTCAAGGCCAGCCTGAACTACATAGTGAGACCCTGTCTCAAAAAGACCAAAAAAACCCAAACAAACAAACAAAAGCACTGAGATGGCTTTCTAAAGGTAGGTCACTGGCCAGAGTTTCTGAGTTACTAAAGCCACTCCAGAGATTTCAGAGATTTCTTTCTCTGACTTACTTCCAGAGTAAGTCACCACTGGCAGTATATGGTGACACAGAATGGGTAGCAAAACTTGCTTACCAGTATGACACATTCAACCTGCTCAATAAACCCAGTCTGCCACTTAAGGACAGAAGAACAACTATGTTCAAATTGGCAGATAAAGTGGCTGCATTCAGCCAGCTGTGGTGGCGCACACCTATAATCCAGGCACTTGGGAGGCTGAGGCAGGAGGACTGCTGCAAGTTAAATGCCAGCCTACCCTATGTAGTAAGTTCAAGGTCAGCCTGAACTACATTGTGAGACTCTGTCTTTAAAAAAAAAAAAAAAAAAAAAAAAAAAAAGAAGTGGCTGCTTCAAAGACAAACTGGAATTATGGGGAAACCAAGTGAACAGTGGGACTTCTGACATGTTTCAATCACTGGCAGAGATTTTGAAAGAGACTAAGCCAGAGCCTTCTTTCTTTCAGCTGATGCATGATTACCTATCTCAACTTCAAAACATTTTCAGCATTATTTCCCAACCATAAAAGATCTTCAAACTGAGAAGGAATGGATCTGTCATCTATTTGTGAATAAGCCAAGTTAACTAACTTTGTCCACACTAGAAAAGCACCAGCTGCTTGAGATCATAAGTAACACTGGCCTTTAAAATATGTTTCAGAAAACAAAATCTCCGTATGTTCTGGATTCTAGTCAAAACAGAACATCCTGATATTGCCACAAAAGTAATGAAAAGCTCGCCTCCATTTCCAACATCCTATCTTTGTGAAGCAGGGTTTTCTCAGCAACAGCAACCAAAATGAGATTATGGAGTAGCCTGGACATAAACAACATACTTTGGGGGTCACTGTCTCCCATTACCTCCAGAAAGGAATGCCTAGCTACAGGAAAATAAGCTCAGGGCTCCCAATGAGTCTGTATTATGGTTAGCAGTATAACTATCTCATTATATATTACAATGTAATAATAAGGTAGGTAATAAATGTAATGCACTCGAATTACCTTCAGACCATCTTCCCTACCTACCCATAGTCTGCAGAAAAGCTGTCTTCTATAAGACTGGTCCCTGGTTACAAAAGGCTGGGGACTGCTGTCCTAGTGTAAGCAAGTGAGAACAACAGAAGACAGACTTTAAGGATAGCTTAAAACAAACACAATTCAAACTCATGCCAAGTTTCCTACACTCTGGCAAGTCTCTGCAAAGCCCAGCTCCTTGTACCAGTGTCTGGAGGAAGGTGGCTCCTCACACCAAGTGTCTGCCCTCACCTCTTACAGCCTTCTTACTGAACACACAGGCTGAGCAGAGCAAAAGTAACACACCATTGGCCAAGCAAATGTACCCCACCAAAGGAGTCTTGGAACTGGAGACCAACTCAAGGAGCTCAACCACAGCTCTGCTCTATACAGCACTACTACTAGGGCTGAAGAGAGAACCTCAGACAACTGACAAAGCAAGCCCTCTAGAGTGCAGAATCAGCCTCTAGAAAGCCCTCAGAGCCGAGAGAAAACACTGTCAACGTTAGCCAAGGCCCTTCCTCAAGCAGTCAGACAACCTGGACAACACACAGGGAAGACTGACACACACAATATGGTGGAGGGGGCCACATGGTGCCCCAGCTCACTGCACAGGGTGTTTCCAGCCCACAGAGTGAAGGGCAGCTCAGGAAGGGACCAGGAGTCTCTGAAAGCAGAGACTGTGGAGAGCCCAGGAGGATGAAGGACAGAGCACACAGAACCAAATATGAAAGTGCAGAGTGCAGAGTGTGCTAAAGGCCTGCCATACACAATGCTAGATGAGTCTTCACTGAGCTTGATCAGGCCATGGCTGGTCCTGAAGGAACCACTGGAAAGAACTGTCTGGAGCAATCTCTGGAGCACACATGGAGGCCAGACCAGCAACTGCTCTCATCAGGCAAACAGAAAAACCCAGGGTCATGAGGCACTCGACACAAGGAGTTCCTGCCTTAGGAGAATCAGCTCTAAGCCTTACAACACCTGAAAACAAAACTTAAAAGTAAGCCCAGTAGATCAAAGTGTCTCCAAGTGATATAGCTGTGTTCCAAAATGAAGATCTAGAATCTCTACCAGAAAGCAAAAACTTCTAGCACTCAACAAGGTAATGTACAGTGTCCAGCAATGAATAAGGCATGCAAAGAAACAGGAAAACACAATCTACAACAAAAGAGGGAAAATCTATCAAAGCTGACCAAAAAACTAACACAAATGATGAAATTAGCAGACCAGAACAATTAGTCTAGCCACAGTCCCTATGTTCCAAAGTTAAGGAGAGACATAAGACGAAAAAAGATCATAATTAAATGTTTAGGGGAAAGATTTATACAATCTGAAGAGAAACTAGAGCATGATGATTAAATTTTCAGAAATGCAAAGTAAAAGATCTAAAGTGAAAAAAAATTAGATGAAATAAATGGTAGCCAACCATGGTGGTTCACACCTGTAATCTCAGCACCTAGGAGGCTGAGGCAAGAGGACTGCCATGAGTTCATGGCCAGCCTAAACTACATGGCAAGACCCTGTGTGTGTGTGTGCGAGAGAGAGAGAGAGAGACAGAGAGAGAGAGAGAGAGAGAGAGAGAGAGACAGAGACAGAGAGAGACAGAGAGAGACAGAGAGACAGAGACAGAGACAGAGACAGAGAGAGACAGAGAGACAGAGAGAGAGACAGAGAGACAGAGAGAGACAGAGAGACAGAGAGAGACAGAGAGAGACAGAGAGACAGAGAGAGACAGAGAGAGAGAGACAGAGAGAGACAGAGAGAGAGAGACAGAGAGAGACAGAGAGAGAGAGACAGAGAGAGACAGAGAGAGACAGAGAGAGAGACAGAGAGAGACAGAGAGAGAGAGGGAGAGGGAGAGGGAAAGGGAGAGGGAGAGGGAGAAAGAAGGAAAGAAGGAAAGGAGGAAAGGAGGAAAGAAGGAAAGAAGGAAAGAAAGAAAGAAGAGAAAGAGAAAGGGAGGGAGGGAAGGAAGGAAGGAAGGAAGGAAAACAGAGTGAGTGAGTTAGACACTACAGATAAAAAAGACCCAAGAACTTGAAGACAAGGCAACAGAAACAATAAAAAATCAAACTGATGGGGCTGGGGATTTAGCTCAGCGGCAAAGCGCCTGCCTGGCAAGCGCAAGGTCGTGAGTTCGGTTCCCGGTACCGGAGAAAAACCAAAAACCAA